TACCTCGCTAGGCAGGGTCCTCAAAGGTGGGCGTGCAATTCATCTTTAACCAAAGGCATTTCCCTGAGATATATAATAATTTATGTACATCGTGACACAGTTCTTCTGACAGTCTACACGCTCGAGCAACTCGTAGACGTTCCCTTGCATGAGTAATACGGTCCTCAGTCTCTAAATTATCCCACTTTCGCGGGTTCACAGCAAGTAGCTAAGGGGCCATCATAAATGGCAGTTCTGAAGCCTCCTTAGTTGTCTCACGCACCAAAACCAAAGGCTATCCTCTGTCTCATATTCAGTTTTTACACCACGTTTTTCCTTTGTTGCTGGATGATATTAGTACAATATCATTACTGGCCTGAGCAGGTCCAGAGAACTCGTGCAGGTGTTTACTTGGACTGTTCTCGTTTTCCTATAGCTTTTTTCTTTCCTGGAAAGTCACTTAGCGACCACAGATTTGCAACTGAAAGCCATTATCCTTATACATACATTCGCGGAGTTTGTCTTCAAAGGCTCAAGGGCGATAGCAGAATGACGGATATAACGTTATTGCACGCCCTAGAAAACAGCAGGAATAACCGTCAAGGATGCCATAAATAAAACCCCTCCATCCGCGACGTCGTACGAGTTTGCACAGTATCTGAGAAAGGGCCGAGGTTTTAGTTTCAGGCTTTTCAATGATAAAACTACTTCAAGATCTGTTTGAGTAAGGCTACTCACTCACAGTACTCACTTACTTACTAAGCGCCTCTCACTTCCACTAACTCGAGCGATAGCTTATGGATAAGGAGGGACGTGTTATGGCAGCTGTCGTGGATTTCCGTGCAATATGTGCAGCCAACACGAGAGCTGAATGGCACTGAGTATCACATTCGTTGAGCGCTGGCGCCATTGTCCGCCAATTTGGCGCCACCATCTTTTCCATCAGAATCGATGAAAACTTGTATCTTTTCTTTTTTTATTTAGCCACTTGTTTTTGGCACCAGATGACGCCAGCGCTGAAAAAAAGATATTCGTGACCAGGATGTTGAAACCCCCATATACAAGGTTCCACCCACTTTGATGAAAAAAGTGGTGGCGCCAAATTGGCGCATAATGGCGCCAAATGGCGCCAGCGCTCAAAACGAATGTGATATTCGTGATCAGGGCATCGAACTACATCTATAGGCAACGTTTCAGCGAAAAAATTTTCCTTCTGTTTCTGGGTAGGAATAGTTCTTATACTGCCGGCGTTATTGTTTTCTACAGGCCGGCTGCGGCAAGTTGCCAACAATAGTTGCCGGCGCCCGGCATTTGCTGTGGGACCCTACGCCGCCGGCTCCGCCTCCACCGCATCAATGCGCGAAAACGAAGTGAGGAAGAGCAGGAGGGAACCAACCGAGAAATGTCCTGTGTAAGACCACATGCTGGAACGAATTTAGGGAAGAGAAAAAAACTCACTAGGGAACTTATACCCGTAGGGATAGAGAACTCACTGGAGGCACTATTCAACTGTTACTACCCGACAACTCAAAAAATATTCAGCACTGTCCAACTATTACTACCCCAGTCTTCCATAAATAGGCCAGATTTGGAACGACTTTCTTCTAAAGGGGCAGATTTGGCTGAAAGTTCGGTTCATTACGCTGAATGGCACTCATTTTAGGCGCTGGCGCTAATCAAGGGCATCACGGTCATCGCTCTGCTAACAAGGGAAGGATACCAACTCGTCCTGGCCATTCAGAATGAGATGTATATTCCTAGGAGCGTCTCCGGATACTGATATCAGATCTGACTTCCAAATCTGCTAAACGATTCTGGGTGGAGAGTTACGGACCTTTTTTGCTACCGTGCTTAACCATTGCGGTGCGACCCCTGCCCATGCTTTGCGCTCGTAAACCCTCGTGACCCAGCTGCCGCCGTGGGCGTGGCGCAGCAGTACAGTCGTGATCCCTCAGACTGGCCATCCGTAATTGCGTACTTCACTGGGACGCGACGGCGGCTGCAGTAGGAGTGGCGATCGATGCTGCATGATCACCTGATTTCAGCGATTAATTTTTCTATTTTGCCTGTTATTCTGCTAACTAGAAGGAAAAGTGAGTTCATATTATTTACTCTAATTTGAGGTTTTATTGTATATTTTGCTTTCAGTCGCTATTTGACTGCAGTGACGGTGTTTTTACCCACTTTTTGATTTTGTTTAGGTTTTTTTTGTTTGTGCTTTGAATGTTGGACTGTTCTCCATGGCAGTGTCGTTATGTGTCCTCATTAGTACAAAAAAAACCTAAACAAAATCAAAAAGTGGGTAAAAACACCGTCACTGCAGTCAAATAGCGACTGAAAGCAAAATATACAATAAAACCTCAAATTAGAGTAAATAATATGAACTCACTTTTCCTTCTAGTTAGCAGAATAACAGGCAAAATAGAAAAATTAATCGCTGAAATCAGGTGATCATGCAGCATCGATCGCCACTCCTACTGCAGCCGCCGTCGCGTCCCAGTGAAGTACGCAATTACGGATGGCCAGTCTGAGGGATCACGACTGTAAGTGGATGGCTTCATAGTAGTGAGACGGAGGTTCAAATCCTTGATGCATTTCGTAGTTTTGCTTTTTCTTGAAACGCATGCTAAACACTGCTCCCGTATCTTCAGATGCCCAGAAAGGATCCGTATGTTCGTCCTCCACGAAGCTATCTCCCTCGCAGTCGATTATACGGTTGTAGTACAGTGCGTCGCGCACAATAGGATAGAAACTCTCTGCAATCTTCTTTTCTTTGCGGGATAGTGATCAAACAATATCGCAAGACCCGAATTCTTTCACTAGGTGTGATAGCACCAGAGTCCGGCAGAACATTTCCAACTATGGTGGACAGGTCGCAAAGATGTTGGCTGATATTGTGGGCGTGAGTGAAGAGAGCTACCAGAGATGACGAATTCTTTCGTTGGCCACACACGTTGTCATCCTATAGGATGATGAAATCTCGCAGTTCACGAGCTCCAAGCAGATATGCATGTGTATTTGGTCCCTTGCTTGAGCTAGTTAGGCAAAAGTGTAAGTTTCCACGAAAATCGTTCGCGGGGCTCAATAAGTAGCAGGGAGGGGTCTTGGTGGTCGGACAGGTACGCAAAACTACTTCCCAAGTGTTTAGCATGCGTTTCAAGAAAAAGCAAAACTACGAAATGCATCAAGGATTTGAACCTCCGTCTCACTACTATGAAGCCATCCACTTACCTGCTGCGCCATCGAGCCACGGCGGCGGCTGGGTCACGAGGGGTTTACGAGCGCAAAGCATGGGCAGGGGTCGCACCGCAATGGTTAAGCACGGTAGCAAAAAAGGTCCGTAACTCTCCACCCAGAATCGTTTAGCAGATTTGGAAGTCAGATCTGATATCAGCATCCGGAGATCGTATACTCCTAGGAGACGCTCCTAGGAATATACATCTCATTCTGAATGGCCAGGACGAGTTGGTATCCTTCCCTTGTAAGACTGAGCCTGGCTCAGAGGGAACTACTCCTCCCGGACTCAGCCTCAGAGGAGCAGATGACGCTGGTGCCAAAAAATGAATGCATATTCGTGGTCAGGGCATCAAACAACCTTATTATGCAGATTTCTATCGATGTGGCGCCAAACAGGCGCCAAATGGCGCAAGGGCAACATTCAATTACAACTACCTCAGAAGGTCAGAGAAAATTTTTTTGCTGAAATTTCGCCTATAGGGAAAAGTCGGTCCCCTTATCAGCACTCGTTTTCAACTCTAGCGCCAAACTGGCGCAATTTGGCGCCAGTTTGGCGCGGCCACCTCTCTCAAAAAAGTCCATGTAAATTTGCATAGTAGGGTTACCTGATGTCCATCACGAATACCGCATTAATTTTCAGCCCTGGCGCCACCTGGTGCCATTGGGCGCTGATATGATGCCACACCCTATTTCATCAAAGTCGATAAAACCATGCATAATAGAGCTGTTTGATGCCTTTCAAGAATATGACATTCACTTTTCGACAGCAGCGCCATTTAGCGCTCTTCTAGGGCTGAGCATGGGTTAAGGTGACGCCCTTTAGGCCAGGCTAATTGTAAGCCTTAGCAACGCGCAGGTGATCGCGGTGCTTTCCATCAGCGCCGCGCCAAAAATAAATGTGATGTTTGTAATCAAGACGTCTATAATCTCTCCTATACAAGTTTTCAGCGGATTTGGTGACTAAGGGTATTTTGGCGCCAGCGCCTATGGCGCGGGCGCCAGGCGGTTTCAGACGCGAGCGACGCTGCCGTGTTGAAGAGGCCGAATTACTCCTGGAAGCCAACTTTCAGCCAAATCTGCCCTCGTAGAAAAATGTCGATCCGGACTGTTTTCGGAAAATTGGGGTAGTAATTGTTGGTATTTTTAAGCACATATATAAGCGCATAATTTGAAAACAGATACATGCTTCATGTGTAACTTCGCCATCGCCCTGTTGGGAGAATAGAAGAATAAAACTAGGCGGTGGGATTAACGGTAGCCGCTCCCTCTCAGTGACACCAGAAAATTGTTGGCAAGCTTGCCGCACAGAAAAAAAAGAAAACATATAGAACAGCTTGCCGCATAGAAAACAATGGCGCCCAATAGTGCCGAAAAACATACAAAATAAGAACAACTAAATGCCGAGGTTACAAAACGAGAGAAGCTGGAGAATATTCTACATACTGAGGTTGAGAACTTCCTGCATCTCGATCCTTACATTTTTTTTGCAAGAAAAGTCTAGCAGGATTTAGTCCACGTGAACGTCAGCACTTCACGCCATTAACGACGCAAACTTTTGAGTGATCATACATGGTGCCTTCAAGACGAACATTTTCATGTCTTCTTCAGTCCGGTCGATGGTCAGAAAGCAGATAGCGTTCAGACTGTACCACGAATTTCAAATGCTGCACATCAGAGGTGTGACCTAATCTTTATGTAATATCTTCGTAGACAACCTGAGCAATAACAAAACCATCCTGGAGACAATCATCCAGTTAAACGTAATAATGAAACAACAATAACATCTAGCTTCGAGCTATACTAGCACCTTGAACATCTGCTGACAAAAGCTGATGTTCTTGGAAACGTAGTGATACCCGTTGAGTCATTTTCAAGTACTTGTCCAAGCAATTTGAACTGCACTTCTCCTCCTTCTCACTAACAGTCCTTGAGGTCAGGTCATTGATACACGCAGCAAAACACTGCTCCGTCACATTGTTGTACTGCATGAGGAAATCACGGAACGTCTTCAGATCTGATTCTGTAGCTGCAGGCGTCGGGGTGGCCATATTGTGCAGACACTACAAAAAAGCAAAAAAAAAAACTGCTAAATTCTTTCTGTAGTTGGCGAATGTGGAGAATTTGAAAGAATACTCAATTTGCTGATAGAGTGGCGCCATTCTTTCGTACAGATGCGGCTGTGTGCCGTTGCGAACTTTGCGGAGCTACAGTAACCTCGCACCTAGTTCCATTATTCGTTGGGGACGTAGCACCTTATTGAGTTTTTTGGTGATTATATTAAAAGTATTAAAGTGTATAAAAGTGTGTAAAGTGTGTAAATATATAAAGTATTAAAATGTCACATCTATGAGTATCTTTTAGTCCTAGACTCTTCCTGTGCAGTAGCCTCGTGGGCATTTTCGAGGAAGGAAGCGATATCATCGACCGAAAACCTCTAATTTACATACGCATAAAGTACTCCCATGGTTTCTCCAAATTCGCGTAATTCACATACGCACAAACGCATTACGAAGTAAAAAAATAAGGGAAGCAAGTAAAATCTTAGTAAACTAATTCTTCCAAGCATAACAGTGGTCCCTCTACAGAGGTCCCCTTGAAAAAAGTTACATAAAATGTAGTAAACCATAGAGTTATGAGTGAGTATACATTCAGTACTCCCAACCCAAGGATGCTCCCACGGTTTCTCCACGCTCCATATTGTTTGGGGAGCGTGGCAAACTCCGATTTATAAAGCCGCACGCTTTCGCCTCTCGCCGAAATCATAAAAGTCTGGCACTCGTCAAATCGCTGGTCTAGGAAGTGAGTCGAGCAGAACGGTAGTAAAAAACCACAGTAACTTTACAGGACATGTTTACCGTTCCCAAGAAGAGATACACCGTTTCCGTGTGATGGTGACCAGTCCCCTCGGCAGACTTGCAGGGCTTCTCATTGTTTGCGCCCCTGACTTTCGTAACTCGAAAATTTTTGTCGAGGTTATGTCATTTGCTGTATCATGAAGAGCTCTCTTATTCCAGTCTGCTCCACAAAAATAAGCAGCTGCAATCAATCATGGACTATGGCGCAATCGCAGTATGTACACGTATTATCACATAACCGCTATCTTTTCACATATATTAACAGAATAACACATAGAGTCCGCTATCGTGGCCCTTTGTGCTTTGACCTGTTGGGGAATGGTGACGAAGGGGAAGCTATCTGAAAATCTGTATCCCCTCCGCTCGAATATAGACGCATCTTCCACGAAGTCTCTCCTCGACATTGAATAAAACTGGGCGTAAGGTTACTGTAGCCCCGCAGTGTACGCAATGGCACACAGCCGCATCTGTACGAAAGAATGGCGCCCGATAGAGTCAGCAAAAGAGGTACAGTATTGTTCGCTGCGGATGATTTGGGTGTCACACAAATGGATAGAATAAATAGAGAAAAGGGCAACGTCACGAGCCGTTTTCCAACTAGCTGCTGAGCGGATTGAACGGAGTTTGTGAGTGACTGATACAAACGATATGGTAGTCCTGACTCTTGCCAAAGAAACATAAACTGAAACGGGCTTGTGCCGCGCCAAGCCCATCCCCTGACACATCCCCCGAACAAGACTGTATAAATCGGCTACAAACGATTAGATGGGAATCAATGAATGACTGCAGTGCGTATCTCCTGACCCGGGAAAAATAGTAGGCTGAAGAGGTCGCTGGAAATTAGATCTATTAGAAATTATGCGTCTTTAGACGGTCCACACAGCTTCTTTCTATATCTGTTGCGGACCTCTCTGTAATATGTTACGGAGGTTTAAAGGAAAATACACACACTCAACACAAACTTCGGCCACAAAGCTGGTTCGAAGGTGGCACTGTAGCTCAACGGTTGTGTAAATCACCTCATGTTTGTAATTCGACTATAATTTCATGCAGTGTTTTCACATTCGAGAAAGCTGTAGAGATTGGGATCGAGTGTGAGGTGTTGCCTTAAAAGAATCGGATATGTGACAAGACAATCGTGATAGGTCGCGCGGGTGGGCACCGCGTGAGACGCCGCGCCCTACAGACGAGTTGTCTTGCACGCTGCTTGAATTTGAGAGTAACAGGACGGTAAAATTCGATATCGCTCTCATGGAGTCTTGTCTCTGCTTGAATTCATATGGGTTTCTCTGTTACTATCGACAAATAATGTATATCGAAGATTTGCCGCGCGCCGCTGTACGACACGCCGTGCGCGACGACACAACAAATTACGACTGCCTTGTCCGTATCCTTAAAGAATTTCGCAAGGCATTGTTCACACTAAGGAACCTTAGCGAAATCGGTGCATCCGGTTATTTTTTATGTAGCAACAGGGGAAAGCGAACCGAACAGGCAAATACTGCGAAAAAATTCTGAGATATACATGTCGATTTCGCTCACCCCACCCAAGAAGAGCAGACGAAGCTTCAGCCTCTTCGTCTCGCTCTGTCCCAACCGATACCTAACCCTTTTCGCGGAACAGAGAGGTACGCAGCGAAATAGGGCAGAACCCTCGCAATACCGTTGAGGAGATATCACACGCTACACAGTCTTGATAACTGCGGATGACAGGGCGTATCGAAGCAGCGTCACGTTTGGGCTCCGCCTAGTCCACTCTCGACTAGTTGTTGAAGCAGGTGAGCGACAAGTTAGTGGAAAAATGACTGACCGAGCTATACGATAGTCTTGTCGCTTGCTCGCTTTTACAACTGATGGAAAACATGGCACCGCGCCAAACTCATTCCGCCTGACACGCCCCTTCATTCTGCATCTCATTTCAAGCGACCACTTCAACATACCATACTTTCCTGGTAAGGATCAAAGGCTAATCAATCCACTCCCGTTTCGTCTGCGAATCTCCGGAGTCCCGCGCTCCCAAGATCTCGCATATTCTCCACATTCAGGCCAGAACCGTGCTGTCAAAAAACGAACAAGCAAACTAGTAAAATAATATTTAGGTGATCCTTCGATATATACCACTAAATAACAGAGGTGTTTCAGATGGACATTTATCACTCATCAAGTGTAACAATACAATTTGATGTTTATCAGGACAGATGTGAAATCAAAAAGGAAAACTTTTACATGCACAACGAGTTTCTAGCTAAAGCGTCCTCGCTTAAACAGGTTACAGTATCTGCTTTAATAATCGATACTTGGCCTTAATGTAGAACTTTACAGTAACCATCAAAACATACTGAACCTCAGGAAAAACATCCTGTTCGGCGTAAAAAAAAGAAACAGCATTTCAAATGCCCAACGAATTACACTGCTTCCTGCGCTGATATTCACCTGGCTGCACCAAATCAGATTAAATACGCTTAGACAAATCAGTATACACACAATTACTAAATAACAGCTTAATGCTAGCTCTGATAAACGTGAGGACGAATTAAATACATTCAAATGTGGGAATCGG